GGGCACAGTCTCGGCTCCAGCCGGGCAGGGCACGTCCCTGTGCCCCCCGAAACAGGAAGGCGGCCTCTCCCGGCAGGGCTGCTGGGGGCGAGGGCCCGGGGCCGCCTGCCATTGCCGATGGCACGCTGCTGCCTGCTGCTCACCAGCCTGTGGGGTGAGGGCAGGCGTGACTCCTCTCTGCGAAATGGGGCAACAGTTGAGGGGAGACTCCAGGGAGAAGCCCACTCCCCCCCACTGCTTGCAAAATTACCATTATTCTCTGGAATGTTCCAGGATGGGGATTTTACTGTCGCTGGCTGGAGCTGCCCGGCGTTTGCCGCTTGCGACAGGCGGGCACATCCCGGCAGAGGGGGAAACTGAGGCTGGGGGTGCGAGCTTCTTGCAGGACGGGTATCCTGCTCTGCAGGTCCTGGCACCATGGGGAAACTGAGGCCAGAGAAGGGGGGTTATGGCCACCGGCCCGCGTGACGCCCTGCGTGCGTCCCACCCTCACAGCTCAGCGGGTCGGCCACCATCAATGCCAACGTGCAGGTGGCCCAGCTGCCTGCCCAGGGCGACCGCGTGGCTGCCGGAACCCAGTGCCTGGCCATGGGCTGGGGTCGGCTGGGCACAAACCGGCCGCCGCCCAGAGTCCTGCAGCAGCTGAACGTGACCGTGGTGACCGCCCTCTGCCGCCGGACCAACCTGTGCACCCTGGTGCCGCGCCGGCAGGCCGGAATCTGCTTCGTAAGTACCCTCCACCCCGGGGCGCCTCCAGGACCGAAGCTAAATCCCCAAGGACTCCCCGCCCCGTGGGGAGAGGCGGGCCCGGGCACTCTGACTCGTCCGCCCCACAGGGGGACTCCGGAGGGCCCCTGGTCTGCAACGGGCTGGTCCAGGGAATCGACTCCTTCATCCGCGGAGGCTGCGGCACCGGGACGTATCCAGACGCCTTCGCGCCTGTGGCACAGTACGCAAACTGGATCAGGTCCATCATCGGCCGCCAACTTCCACCCTAGGGCCCCCTGGGCAGGATGCTCTGACAGGGCTGCCCCGTTTCCCCGCCTCACCGACCCTGCTGGGCCCTCCCCCGCTGCTTCACCCGCCACCTGCCACAATTAAAAAGAGGCCCCGTGGGTGAGAGAATGTGTGCCTTCAACTGGGGGGAGGCTGGCCCGTGCCTTCAACTGGGCAGGGGGAGGCTGGCCCGTGCCTTCAACTGGGGGGAGGCTGGCCCGTGCCTTCAGCTGGGCAGGG